CTGCTGAAATGGTGCTTTGCACCATCCCGTCGCTGTCTGTACCAACTCAGGGACCTGCTGCCAAGGGGACACGGCAGCAGTGGCGTAAAGCAGGAAGGCAGGACTTAGGCATCCACCCCATTGGCTTTTATTCACCGGTAAGTTTACAGCCAACATTTTGAATAAGGAGAAAACGCGTTATTTCTTACCGACTGCAGGGAATGGCACAAACCTCTGGATCAAGAGACGAGTGGCAGGGGTAAACTTGTTTGCTCTCTGAACCAGAACATTAAGGCCCACCTTTGAATAGAAAAAAAACCAAACACAAAAAGAGAAGCAGAAACATTTAGCTACGAGGAGCAGAGTAGATGCCACAGCTTGTAGACAGCACCAGAGCTATTTGTGGGGACAAATTGGGGTGTCTCCCCATGCAGAAGTGTTTGAAAATTAAAGCATCCCAGACTGCAGGGTTTAGCTGTGTTGGGTTCAACCCTTCATTCAATGACGAGTCGAACCCAACTGTTGGGCTGAACCCAGCTATTGGGTTTAAATGAGGGGTTAAACCCAACCATTGGGCTTAAATCAAGGGTTGAACCCAACTATTGGGTTTAAACCCTTTCCAGCCAAAAGACAAGCTAGAAATCACTGCAACGCCATTTGGTCATAGAATGGGTTGGGTTGGAAAGGACCTTAAAGACCACCTAGTTCCAACCCTCCTGCCATAGGCAGGGACACCTTCCAGACCAGGCTGCTCAAAGCTCCATCCAACCTGGCCTTCTGGAAATGCCCCCTTCTGCATTTTTACCCAGTTCACCGGCATTTTCCCCACCCAGCACAAAATCATTGGAGCTGGGGGTCCTCACCTGGATAGGAAAAAGCCAAATATCAGTGGTGGTGGTTGGCTCAACACAATTCATTCCTCCTCCCAGGGTCTGTGCAGACTACACCACCCCACTCCAATGTAAACATTTGGGCTATAAAGGAGCTATTAATAGAAACAAGAGATAGCAGGCCATTTATTATAACCATGGATCATTTTTCTTGTTGCCTCCTCCAACACTTGAATAATGCAGAGCTCTCCGCAATTTTGCAGGGATCTAAGTCATTGCGTATGTTAATATAAACAGCACGGAGGAGAGTCGCTGCCTCATCAGCTTCAGCGTGGTTGGATAATAGTGACAGTCAGAGAATTTCCATCAAAATTTGTTTCAAGCAGAACTGGGGTTATTAATTAAACAAACCTATTCGCAGGGAATGACTTCTGTCTTCAAATTACTCTCCCCTACAATATTTTCTCTTTTTCATCCAAAAAAACCCAAACATGCAAACAAAACCCAACAGCCCCAAACCGGGAATTTTAGGCCGAAAATGGAAGTCTTTAGCAATGCCTGGCCAAAAAGTTTTCAGCCAAAAATGCAGCAAAATTAAAAAAAAAATTCAGCCAAAGCCAAAAACCTGCCAGCAAATAGTGATTTGGGGGCTTTAAAAAAAAAAAAAAAAAAAGAAAAAGAAAAGCATGGGAGAACATATTTTGCAAGCTGCTACATTATACATGCATCCACAGTGCATCTCGTCTTTTTGGAGGCTGAGAGGAAGATGTTGAGAAGCACAACTGCTAGGTAAGCCCTGCATAAGCACGGTGCTGGTTTTCAAAATCCGGGGAGCATTTCCAGAGTCCCACGAGGCTTTCACCACGACTCCAAGCAGGAACCCTTCCTCCTCTTCTTGGCCACCGCGAGTCCAGCCCTGAGCCCAAGAAAGCGACGGCAGTTCTTCTTAGTCAGGGCAAGAATGAGGGTTTTGTCTTAATCTTCTTCCCTCTCGAAAATGACTGAATGATTATTTTTTTTTACATTTTCCAAGTTCTGGGAAGTATATTTGCAAAATCTGAATGCTTCCAGAAACTGTAAAGCAGTCTAAAATGGATGGCTTTGCGGAAAAGAGGAAAGAGTTTTGAGGAAAGAGCTTTGAGGAAGAGTAAAGCTAAAATAGTGTTAAGCCTGGCTTTGCTGGTGCTGCCCCATGGATTCAGGTATTTATAGCCTGGATACAGCACATCTGTGTAGATGACAAATTTGGTTGGGTTTCCGGCCTCTGCTTGTATGTTGATGGAAGGATTTGACCATGAAGTGGAAGAGCAGCAGTTTTTGAAACAGAAAAGATGCAGCCGAGCCTGGGAGAGAGACCGCTGTGAGGCTAGCGGTAATAAAAGCATTTTACTTTCAGATTCAATTTGGTGCTGCAGATGAACTCGCTCCTCCACTTACAGCAACCACCCTGCTGTGAATATGAAATTAAATGTTGCTATAGATTTAAATCTAATCTCCCAAATTCCCAACATGAGGACTAGATTTAGGAAACTAATGAGGGTTTGTTTTCTACAGTTTTGAAATTGCTTTAGCCAATCTGTGAACTCTTGCCCGCAGGTCACAAAGTGGGATGAGGGTAAACAGGTCAAGGAGAGCATCCAACAACGAGCAGGTACTCCTCAACCTCAGATCACTGTCAGCAAAAGGGCCATCAACAAGGAGAGCTTAATGAGTTTAATTCCTAGGGGCTGGCCAAAGAACACTGACTATCGAGGCAAATTCATCCCTAAGAAAACAACCGCAGGAGTATTATTATTATTATTATTATTATTATCATCATCATCATCATCATCACCCTGCCTACAGCCTGAGTCACAGATCTGGCACCTACAGCACTGTTGTTGCACAAACATGTAACAGAGAATCAGTGGGATTCATCACACCATAAGTCGTAGACTCAGAGAATCATTTATGTTGGAAAAGACCTTTAAGATCATGGAGTCCAACCGTTAACCCAGCACTGCCAAGCCCACCACTAAACCATGTCCCTAAGCACCACGTCTACATGTCCTTTAAATACTTCCAGAGATGGGGACTCAACCACTTCCCTTGGCAGCCTGTTCCAATGCTTAAAAACCTTTTCAGTGAAGAAATTTTTCCTAATATCCAATCTAAACCTCCCCTGGTGCACCTTAAGGCTGCTTCCTCTCATCCTACGGGCTCCCTTTGCAGCTCAGCACAGAGAAATGAGCCTTTTTAAGAGGTTTTGTTCTCCTCCCAAGACAGACATTTATGAGTGCTCATGTGAAATGTCCCCAACGGTGCCCGTTCATCCCTGCTGACTAGCAAAGGGGTGCAGCTCAGATGAAGACTTCTGCGCTGGAAATGTCTCAATGCAGGCAAGACAAGTGCTCCTCCTTGCAGCTGGGAGCTCTGGGCATGGATCTGCAGTACTGGTTTCAGTGCAGTATTGGTTTCAGTCCAGTACCGGTTCGGGATATTCCTGGACCGTGACCCAGATTACGGGACAAATCCAGCTTTTTCACATTGCCTATCTTTTTGAGGTTTCTTTCCAGATTACTTCATCGGTCTGGCTGAGCGAGCACCCCGACAAGCCAGGGGAAGCTGGGCATGGGGAGAAACATCACACCACAACTGCTGCTAGCATCCCGCAACACCGAACCCCGGCCAAATGCTGTCAATGGGAGAGCAACCTTACTCAGGGCTCTACTACACCTCCAGCAGCACTCTGCCCTTCCTCCCTCACCTTCAAACTCCAAGAATTCATGCTATTTGTTTTGCTACTAGTTTTGTTTTCAGCATCAACAACATTATCTCAGCAGAAGGACAGAGTCTCTGGTGTTGCTGTACCTGAAGCCATACCTGAAGTGTCTGGTACCATCAAACACTGTCACAGAGTGACTGTGTAATAATAAGCCAAGATTTCTGTTTCTTTTTCTTTTCCTTCTTGCCTCGAAAATTCTGACCTCATGTCCACCAAGACATGAATTTTAAAAGCACAGGAATTTTTTTAAAATCCCTGTGGGTTTTTTTTCTTTATGACTATTAAGATTTTTGAAGCCTGAGAGATGGCTTTTGAATGCCTGAAGTTGCAAAGACCAAGCCATTTGATAAAGGTCTAACCCTACACCTCTTAAACCAGTTCTAGAGCAGTAAATATGTCAGCAGGTCAAGCAGCTTAAGCTTCACTGAATTTGGACAGGGAATCTTTATTAAATAAAGGAATATTAGGAGTTCAGCAAGCAAAGTGGACACTGGTTGGTAGATGATGCCACCTAAACATCGCTGAGCAGCTCTCTGGACTTCATTAACTGCGTTGGTGAAATCTCCACTGATTTAAGGGAGTCAACTTTCCCAGGTTCCAGTAGCATTTGGGCAACCCTAACCACTGCAGTTGGAGTTGGCTGCTCCAAGTGACCTAGAAAGTCGATTTGGAAGGAGGGATTGGCTCCAAAGAGGCTTATCCTTCAACCCTCAAACCACCAGATTGCTCAATTAGAATGCTAATTGGATCCGATGAGTCCCATACAGCTGAACTGAAGAAAAGAGCATTAGGATAAGGAAGGAAAAAAATCGTTCATTAGGGCTGAGAGGTGAAGATGGAGGCAGAGAGATGGAAAACTGGGCTGTTTACCAACTGGAGCTTTACCAAGTCAAGGAGAACAGAATGGCGGAGTAAAAGGGAAGGGAAAGCAATAACAATCCAAGTGGAGAGGGAAGTTAGAGAGGAGCAAGAGTAAGGAAAGGAGGAAACTTGAGTCACAACCAAGATGACTGCAGAAGCGATGACTGCAGTAGCCCCACAGTTGGATGCTTCAATGGAAGAAAATGGTGTAGTTTTAAGAAAGAAGCAAGATTGCAGGAGAGGTATGAGCAAGAAGAGAGATTAATGCTGGTAATGAGACAAACTTGATTTGGCAGATGATGCAGAAAGGAAGATGGTGGAGACCCATGGCCAAGACAAGAGGCTGTTGTTTCAACATGGAGTTCTCCATGCATCTGGATCCTGTACAGAGGCAACACTGTGGGGCTAGGCTGGGGCAGAAGAGCACGGATGAGAACAAATTTGCTGGAAACAAAGACACACCAGTGAAACAAGAGAGAAAATGCTGCAGAGAAGCACAAGGAGTTTGGAAGGCAGCAGTTGGCAAGGACCCAGCAGTTGCTATCTATTCCTGAGCCCAGAGGCAGGGTGATGGGCACTGTGCACCTCCCCAGAGCATACCATGTCTTTGCCCCCACTACACCAAAGGCTCAAGGCTGTGCCTTTGGGAAATGGCTGCTACAGCTCCAATGATTTACAGGCTCGATGGAGGAATCGCCGGGCTGGGTTTCCAGTCTGAGTGACTATACCACTCTCTTCTGGTGTCTTCTGGTATCTGGACTTGGTATCCGTGAATCATTAGAGAAGAGGAGGTGCAGGAATGGGAGCTTTTGAGCACAGGTATCCAGATTTTAGAGCCAAGCACT